AAGTCTATTATTTGCTCAAACATAATATTTCATTAATTGTGTATGGATTGCAGAATAGAACCATATGTTTCACTCTGTAACTGATCTTTTATGATGTTTGCATTTATAACTCTCCTCAGAAGAAACTAAAAGCATTGTCACATACGTAGTGTTTGCAAGAGACAAAGTTCTATTAGGTAGACATTTTAGAATTCAAATAACGAGTTTTTGAAGATCAGCATGGATGCCGCATAATGTACAAGTTCGGGTCTTCATTTAGGTTGCAATTTCCTCAACCTCTTTTCCAAAAAGAAACAGTGACAGAGATCAGGCGATCCGAAACGGGAAAAATTATATATATATATATATATATATATATATATATATATATATATATATATATATATATATATATATATATATATATATATATATATATATATATATATATATATATATATATATATATATATATATATATATATATATGTGTGTGTGTGTGTGTGTGTGTGTGTGTGTGTGTGTGTGTGTTTGTGTGTGCATGTACATGTGTGTGTGTGTTTGTTTGAGCATAAACGCTATATATTTTTATCAGTCACAATAGGCAATGACCCGGGAACATTTTATATATAATAACGGGAACATAAACAACTCCTATTTATATAAATTCTTTGAACACTATTGTTTTGTCACCACGTTCAATATTTAGGATTTAAAAATAGAGGTCAATCAAACAAAGTCAACAGATCAATATTTTTGTCAATACTTTTCTCATTTGTTTCCATGCATGAAACATTTCTCTGCAAAGCAGGGGGGACCTTGAATTCCTGCATATTTAAGGTCATTCAAAATACTTTCATTTCCAAGGTCATGCCAGGAACAGTAGATTTAAACTAATCAAAGGTAATTTCATAGAGAGCTATGCAAATAACTGCAAGCAATGTTTTCAAACTTGTGAAACGGAATGAGCCAGTGTTTTGTTTTAATATTACACAGATATTAATCCAGTCAAAGTGCAAAATGCTCATGTGCTGAAAAATAGCGTTAGACCCGACAATAACAACAGCAACAATACCAGGACGTATATTGCTTGTAGTTGGACTTGTTTTTATAAAGCATAATGGATAATCAAACGTGATTTTCATGACCATAAATTTAAGAACTCATCAACGGCTCTAACTAGAATGGTTGAACTGACACCATGCACCATATCTTGAAAATTAATGAGGTAACAACTGTAGCATTATCCCGTGCAAGTATCAGGAATAAATTATTTACCTAAATATATGCCAGCTTTTAACCCAGAATTAGGAAAACGATACATGTCCTCTTGTATTATCACCATGTTCTCCAATTAGGCTATGGCTACTTTTTCTTTCAGGTTTTTTTCTCTTTGATTTAAAAATAACAAAGTAAACACTTATGCCCTATCCTCACTGGAACTGCAAAACATAAATGAACAACATTCTCCGTAACACATTTGTATCATCAAGTTCAAACCAACTGACCGTTGTAAAGGCTGTCGAAGTAATTGTGCGATTTCTATGCAAGGTCCGAACATGAGCCGCTCGTAACGTCAAGCCAGAACAATTTTACTGTTATTAGCTTGGAATCAAACATAAATTTTCAAAGTAGTTAGGTTTTGTGAAATCTGCCGAGATGAAAAAAGTAATAATAAGATAATAAATAAGTAACACATATGGGTCCCCTGCCTACTATGTATCGATGAACTCGTGTTCCTAACGATGATCCTTGTAAAAATGAGTGACTGTTGTTCACGCTTCATTCAAGAAATGCCATAGTCAGGTGCGAATCAGCTGATCAGAATGTAATTCAGTTCCAGGTAAAGTTTGTATTAAAAAGGTTGAATTGTTAAGTAGATTGTATGAAAATATCTGAAATCTGATACATATTTGATTTGTATCTCTCTCTCTCTCTCTCTCTCTGTCTTATATATATATATATATATATATATATATATATATATATATATATATATATATATATATATATATATATATATATATATACATATATATATATATATATACATATATATATATATATATATATATATATATATATATACACATATATATATATATATATATATATATATATATATATATATATATATATATATATATATATATATATATATATATATATATATATATATATTTTTTTTTTTTAGATGCTCATTGTTCCGGCTTCAGTTTAGATTATGTTGATAAGGAACCATACGGAATACATTCACCGTAATATATTTGCATCCAATAAAGTTAAATTACACAAAAACCCAAACTTTCGTAAAAGAGGCAGGTAATATGAGTGATAAACGGTGTCAAATATTCCAATTTTTGTTAATTTTTAAATATATCCCTTTAAATTTAACCCCACCCCACAATTATATCAATAAATATCTCGCACAGTGACAATAGAATTAGCGATACGTATTCCAGTTATGCAACATATATTAGCCAGGGATATCTTCCCGACTAATATCGGTATTAAAAGATTACCCATAATCCTCGCCAAACTTGTATAATCCACACTAAGTAAACATACAGGACGCCAATTTTGAAGATTTGTCATACATGTTTTTTTTTTATTATAAATAAGCGATATCACAAACGCTCTCGTTGACCTCGACATAATTTATTAATTCACATATCTGTTTAAAAAATGTGCATCTAAATATCATAGATAGAATCAAGGTACCATACCACTCTATTGTCAGTCTGACCAAAGTTGGTGCCATTGCTCAGTTGGTAAAACGTTTTGGACTCGTAATCTAATAATCTTGTGTTTGATACCTGTCCGCAACAGCTTGGATCGGATGTCTGTGTGTGTTCTTTGGACAGTGATGTAGCCAATAATGTCTTAAAAGTGCTGTCAGTTTCATCTGATACTAAAATGTACATGCCAAGAACTTTATTTAATCGATTAACCTCTCACAAATCGCTATAATCATGAGGCACATGAATTTACAAAACATAAAAGTGACTATTTACAAATATCTTCAAGAATGACTGATAAATAACATCTACCATAAAATTGATATATTCTATTTTATATTCGATCTGTGTTGAAAATGCTAATATATTTTATATCAATCAATTTATTAATCGAGCTTGTCTTTTGTTGACAATTTAAAACTTTAAGAAACTGCAACTTCGTATTTCTGTAGTTTTCAGTCACTCAGTGAATCTAAATATAGTACCTTGTTATTTTCATTCTGTTACACTTTGTCGAATACAATTTGTAGTCTAGAAAACATAAAACAGGATATATTGATCTTTCAAATACCATAAATATTCATATCATATATGAGGCTATCGTACAGCTGGATCAATTAATTTGTTGGAGAAATTACACCTTTTGTACACTATATTTGGGGAATAATTATTTATTAAATGAATTATTAAAGTCTGCCAAAATTTCTACTTTCACATGTATAATTCTACCTTTTCCAGCAAATTCATGTTTGATAGCATTTTCATCTCTCTCTCTCTCTCTCTCTCTCTCTCTCTCTCTCTCTCTCTCTCTCTCTCTCTCTCTCTCTCTCTCTCTCTCTCTCTCTCTCTCTCTCTCTCTCTCTCTCTCCCTCCACAAAAACAATAACACCATATATTCTATTACAAAGATTTCTATAAACAAGAGAAAACAAATTGTGCGATTCCAAATATCATTATCGCTATAACTTTTAAACTGTTTCTTGCGATGACAAAATATGGTATCTTTGCAATATTTAACAAATTAACTTTAATTTATTCGAATCATGCAAGACATTTGCATTTATGACATACTAAAAATAAGTGATAAAAGTTTTAGACCAGACAGCCATTGTGCAATTAGATGCCATTAACATATTTTATGTTGCTTTTGCATATCAGGTTAGGAAAATGATTGAATTTCATTCTCCAAAACGTGCATCATATTTACAGTCATGGGTGATAAACCAGCGATATTTATGAGAATTTCAGAACTTATTTCTTTTTTCCATCATTTTCTACACGAAACATTATATTCTCTTCCACTGTTCTTCTTTTATATTGGATCAATATTTGTTAATTTTCTCTTCATCAACAATTCTTCGCTCTTCTGTATCAGCTTTCCGATCTTGTACCTTCACCACTGTGTCTGCTTCACTATCACGATCTGCATTTACATTCGTTTGAACCTCTTACCTCCGCATGTACTTTGACTTCAACCTCAACTACATTAACCATCGTTTCATCAGATTGGTCATCAGTTACACATCCTCTCTTTCCACCTCACCTCATCATAACCCTTCTTATCCGATCTCATCTTTCATATCATCGCTCATTATCAAATTGTCGTTGTCATTGAATGCGTAGATTTGTCTGCGTGAGAGTAGTTAAGAATCGTGCCCTTATAAGTTGAGGTTTAGCGATGTGCCACGTAGATTTATTACCCGGGAACTCATTCATTGTGCGCACAGAATAACGATGCACAGGGCACACCTTTAAATTGATTATTATCTTAAAGTGTTGTTGTGCATGCACGGTTTATCATTTTGATGTGTACAACACTTATATCACACTAGTTGGAAAATCTGTACATAATGTTTGGTACCATCGACATTTGCTCATAAATATGGACCTGTAAACAGAGAAATTACTTTCGTTTTTGATTCCATATTCTCTTATCGCAATAATAACTGTGCCATCGCCACTTAGCCAACAAATTGTAAGAATTTTACAGGTAAACTAAATTGCATTCAAATTCTCTCTCATCGAGATAAAATGGGTGAAATCTGTACCCGCACAGAAACGGCGGGGTAACCCGGATTTGGAATCATGGCGCCAATGAATGAAAAAAAAAGTATATCATGTTAATCAAATATAAACTTTCACTTTTAAGATCAATGCAGCACACTGATAAATACTATAATGATAAATATTTTCCCATTTCAGTCTGAAAACTCAGCCTTGGACATCAAACAAAATTATACGCAACTCTTCACCACTGTGTCATCTGTAATTTCATAATAAATCGTTCCGGTGTCGGGGATCGAACCCGGGCCGCCTGGGTGAAAACTAGAAATCCTATCCATTAGACCACCCAAGATCTATTTAGCCAAAGTAACACAGAATTTGACCTTGGTCGCCATTACTCTTTGTAATGCACGTCTGACAACGGTGAAGCATTACCTTCGGTATCACAACTCTATCGTTACACAATAAGCTAATTCGTTGTACTAGGTACGACGGAATGACTGGCTTTATTTCCTTTTGAACTTGGATTACAACAAATTATCTAATTCTGGATTAGCCTTGTTCTGGAATTACCGCAGATAATACAATTATAACCGAAAGATAAACGATGCATTCACTAATGGAAAAAAACCTAATTACGTACAACAATATAAACAGGTCCATGCCGAGGCGTAGCAAGGACACCTTGGCGCCCACGGCAAGAACTAAAAATGACGCCATATCAAAGTGGCGACCACGGCTAGAACTGAAATTGTGCCGTTATCAAAGCTTTGAAAGTATTAAAAAAATAACTGTTCTGCTCCCCGATTTCCCGCCCCTTTCAAGTGGCGCCCACGGCACGTGAGGTGTTTTGCCACACAATCACTACGCCTCTGAATCCATGGAAATATCAGTACCCATATTGCATGTATGTATGTATGTATGTATGTATGTATGTATGTATGTATGTATGTATGTATGTATGTATGTATGTATGTATGTATGTATGTATGTATGTATGTATGTAGGAACAGCATTAGGATGTGGAATAATGGTAATGGTGGCAAGTGGTAGGGCGCAGGTCAAGAACAAGAAGAATAAGAAAATATTTACGTGACGTGGCCTAATACGGAATTAGTCGTTAAGACGGAGATCACAGATACGATCCTACAGATATTAATTTCATTATTGGTACTTTCAAGTTTATTTTCTTTTTAATACAGTAATGATTTATTACCTAATCTAGCACTTACGTCTTCGTACCAGTGATGTACTTGATATAAAATATTGAATTAAAAAAGAGAACGACATAAAAACTCTGATATATCCAGGTAATTGGGTATGGTGATATGATTACGATTGTATCGCGAGAACGAGAATCTGAAAGAATTATGTCATACGAGTGCTTAACTATCAGAGTAGAGTCTTGAGAACATTGAACCAGTCGCTTAAATGAGATTTCTGTTTAAATAAAAATTTTAAACACACTTAAGCTTGATTGAAGACTTTCATAAGTATTCTTGTGTAATCGCTCGATAAGTCTTCAAATAAGATCTGCAATTAAACTATATCGTAAATTAAGTTTAACAGGAAAAACCAAGGTCTGTGCAAATATATAGTTTACTTCATTTCCATAGTAAATATAAGAAAATACATGAACGATAATATTGATGAATAGATGCCAATTAAATATTTCTTTATATAAGGCAGAGAAGAGATTTTTGACATTTATTTATGAATGCAACCACACCAGTTCTAACAGTACTTTTAATTCCCGCAAAAGTATTCTTTCAGGACATGCGTTATGATTCGTCAAGAGGCAGAAGAAAGAAAAAAAGAAAGAAAATCGCCTTAAAGATAGAAATCTTTATCATTCCACCTGTAAAGAATCACAGAATCGTATGTTTTTCCTTTCTTTCATATGTACTTTGCTCCTTGGCCTGTATTATCGCTGCCTTAGGGAGGTGCGAAAGCTAAAGGGGACTTGAACATTTTGGAGTTTGTTTAAAACAGGTCATAATTAAAGCAAATTATTTTAAAATTAATTTTATTAAGAAAATATACCTGCTCTTATAGGACTATTTTACAGAATTTCTTCAGTGATATAACAATTAGATTTAAGGGCCGAATTGTCCTCGTCTCACACCTGGCCCGCACAGCCTTAAAACTGCCACTGTCCTGTCAGTACACACTTCCGTCTCAAGAGCCAGATTTAATGTATTGATTATATATGTGTTTGACCGTGAAAACTGAATATAAAACAGCGACACCGTCAATTCGAATTTTATTCTTTCTAACACTCAAGCGAACAGTTAAGATAGCACACAAATTTAAGTAGTACAATTCAATAAGGACATTTTACGTTCACTAAATTTCATTATTGGTTTACAGGAAAAACATCTCACGGGAAATTACGTTCACTAAATTTCAATATTGGTTTACAGGAAAAACCATCTAACGGGGAAAGTAACAACAACCCAAATGTCTATTAAGTTGAAATGTTTATTCAACAGAGCTTTAAATGAATTCTATCAATAGACAAAGTATAGGTTTTCATAAAAAAAAGAAAATCGAAAAACAAAGAAGGAATGGAGACCGCAAGTTTGGAAAATCGCCCAGTTGAAATACTTGATGATCACATTTAACCTCTTTGATATATCATAATAAACTAGAAAATAATATACATGCTTATTGCAATGTGTTTACATTCCTCATTTTCTTGCCAATAAAAATTAACTGCTTGGAATAGAATATTTTTTTTAAAAAATGTTTTTGAAATACTGACATTTGTTTTGTGATTTTGTCATGCATGATGATTAGTAAATGTAGTTTATGCTATTTGTGATCAATGAAGGATGATCAATAAATAATATAAATGTCTGAATCGCTACTGCAAATCTTTTTATTTCACTGCTCTTTAACTTCGTAGTAGAAAAATAACTCAGTATGTTATAAATGTATTGTTTATGTAAACAATGTAACAATGTACTGAAATTCAGTCACAATGAAAGTGACAGCTTTGTATTCATTTATTCAGTTACTTAATTCCTTTTGCAGTAAAATAATGATTGCGATATCGCAAAAATATTCTAAATAAACTCACACTTTTCATTGGCAAAATACTTTATATCTTTCAAATCTTTCTTTCATTTTAACATTTGTCGTTCATCGGTGAACTGACTTAGCAAACGAAATAATAAGTAAAAGAAAGTGAAAATACGAAATTTACGACCTGTGCTAGCTTCGTTTGACTGATAAGGCGAGACTCATTATACAGAATATTTTGTTGCCAAATAACTTGATGTAACTAGTTAAAGACGTCAAATTTTATAATCGGTTCGATGATAATTCAGGAAGAAAAATTCATTCCACGAATTATTGCCACAGGCTGTGGGACTGATTAGACGAAATTAAACTGGGAAAAGGCCCAGATTTTAAATAAAACCATCAAAACGTGAGGGCATCAGAGGCCAATTCACTAAATATTGTGCCTCAACGATGCACTGTTAACTTTAAATACTTCTGCAAATAAATGACATTTGCAGTAAATGTCAATAAATATAGTTTGCATAGTACCGAGCGCTGGATGGTATCAATACCATAATGGCGGGATGTCACGTGAGGCGAACAAGGCCGCACCCTTCAAGATCTTAATAACAACTTATACAGCCGCCCAGGAGTCTAACAAAAAAGGAAAAAGGAAAAAATGTGCGGCGGGATATAGTCACATATGTAGGTTGTTATAAATGGAGCTTTGGTGGGGAGGACGTTTGAAATGTTAAATTCGGTGAAAGTGGGTAACCAAAATTGTGCTATGTGCAAAATGATCAAAGTGGATCCTGTCCACCATCAGGTATTACGGAAATTATCTGTTTGCTAGTTTCATGGGCATCTTTCACTGTTATTAACATGAATAAATTCAAACTTATAGCGCGAGAATTGACTTGTTTCCCTAACATTTGGACACATGGACACTTGAAGAGTCTGTTGATATCTACCTTAATACATCGAACTGCCTCACTATTTCGCAGCTGTGATAGATATATAGAAGCTTTAAGAGCAACTTCAAATTATTTCACTCCAAAATACACACTGATAATTATACAATTTCGCTTGGTTCAGATGGTTTGTGTTCATGGTAAAAATAACAAGTAAATATAATGTTACAACCATCTGAGTTGACCATTTGCAAATTGGTGTTTTATGAAATGGACCCATGGTTGAGAAGTGTCAATTCAGGAAGGGCATCTGGCCATAGAACACAATTAATTTTACTATATAGTCTCTACATTTGTTTCTCAGTACTGAACTTTCCACTGTGTGACAATCAATATAAATCATATGTTAATCTAAAATACCTTCAAAGATGACTTTACGGTGAAGTTCTTGTCAAGGGTTGACTTGCATTTGTTGAGAGGCTGAATTGTAACCAAAACACCATGCAACGGAACACAGATTTCACTTCCGAATCATCAACCATGGCCTTATTATTCAATGTGCACTGTCGCCTAAATACATACAGAAAACCACAGCAAACGCTTACATTCTAAAGAATAAACAATTGCCTTTCAATCATTACCAAGAATGCCAAAATCTAACTCTTGTGTTACCACCAAACGGAGACAGGAAAAGGTGATCTAAAAATAGACTGGTACTACATTCGTGGGTACTGAAACGGATTTTATTAATTGTGTACTGATTCAATCTGGCTGCTATATTAGGAATATATAGGATTTTATTATTGTTCGCAAGTTGGTGTATAAGTTTGATGCTGTCTATAGCGGAGAAATTTCTCAGGATTACGGACACAATAGTACTTCAAATGAAATAATATGTAACCTAAAATGATATATGACAATAAACGTAATATTATTGTACTTACCTGAATTCATATTTGTTCTAGAATTCGTTTGAAATATATGAAATTCTCTAAGTTATCACATAGGTAATGATACCAAAATTGTCTTCGGATATAGAAGGAACAAATTATTTCTAAATAATACCCAAATGATTGTATATGAACTCCGATCCATATACGGTTTCTGATGTCAGTCGATAGTGCAAAAACCCCAAGGTTTTCAAAGTATCATGAATTTATTTGCAAATATAATTATCATCGTTTATGAAGTTGGCAGCGAAATACTTTTACAATATTAAAATAATGTCATAATCATAAAACATAATGACAAATTAATAAGAATCAATTCATAACATTACTACAATTTCCTAATTACTAGATATACATTTCTAAGAAATAAATAACAATAAAATTGAGACGATGGCTCCTTTGTGTGTGATGACAGCTAACAAGAACAAAAAGAAAAATCTAAAAAAGAACAAAATTGCAAATGTACGAAGAATAAGGTAATTTAATGCCTGTAACGAATGGAAGATAATTCTCAGGATTGCAGGCATAACTACTCTGAAAGGGCTTCCAGAGACCCGCTTGTATAGAAATCCTGTCCGGCTTATGCCGAACTTTACTGACGATTTACACAGCGAATGGGCAACTAAGGTATCCCTTGGTACCGGACAGCATATTCCTAAGTTTATGATGAGAAAGGCACCTTTTACCCAGAAAAAGAGCCAGTGCTTTTTTCGTTGCATATAGCATGTTATCTGTATCTGGTTTATATAAAGTAAAACAGGTGGAAGATGTGATGTGATTATGATTTTTAACGTAGCTTTAACATTTTTTCATAATATTGCTACGATGTCTGCAGTATGGCAGTTTATAGTGATGTCTAGCACTGGGACATCATGCCGCAGACATGCAGCATGATGTCCCACCCATCACATTTTCCTAACACCAGGACGACCAGTCCTAACACTAACCGCTGAGCGTCAAGCGAGGCAGCTGTTAGTGCCATTTTTGTAAGTCTTTGGTATGACTTGCTCGGGGATCGAACCTACGACCCTTCGCATCCGAGGCGGACGCTCTAACCACTAGGCCACCGGAGCGAAAACGAGTGGGTGTTATCGTTCCCTAAATGAAGAAGGATAAAGTTGGCTAACTATCTTCATTCCTTTTGTACTGAAAGAGTTATCAATGCACAGTTGATATATACATTCTACATTCTACTTTACGAATTATTTTTTAACGTTCCGGTGTCACACTGAAAAGTTGTTAAATCTGCGTTAAAAATCTAAATCACACACACACAAACACACGCACACACACAAACACATACACACACGAAATATTTTAGATGTAGTCCTGTCGTAATACAATTGTCACGAAAACATTTGATTAATCAAAATAGTCACGCTTAGTATACTTGTATGTAATATTTGTTATAAATATACCTTTCCACCAACCGTCTCGTAGTGCAAGCACGTCGACCCGCTGATTTTATTCTAATATGCAAAACAGTTCTTTTTTTGTTCAACATGACCCCGAAACGCAAGCCATCTACATGTACTTCATCTGTTGCTCAAGCGAAGAAGCAGCGATCTGTTCTAACTCTGCAGGAAAAAGTGGTAGTTCTCAACTTAATGAAAGAATGTATGTTAGTCGCAAACTTAGATCGCAAATATGGCCTTAACGAATTAAGCATCAACGCCACCAAATTTCGAGTGAAAGAAATCCGACAAGCCATTACATCGAGTGCTTCCATAACTGCTAAAGTTAGGATCTAAGTTTGTGTTATACAACTTTCGTTAAGGCTGGCGGAAGGATATAAACAGTAAACACGTGCCTACAAACTCAGTCAAGGTTGGTCTAATAGCCTCAAGAAACAACTTCAAAATGTGCAAACTGCTGGTAAAGTTGCATCTTCCGATGACAGCAAAGTATAACAGGGTATTTTTGAGAAAATTATTGAAGAAAATTAGAATTCTCCAGCAAAAGTTTTCAATGCAGATGAGACTGGTCTGTTTTGGGGAAAAATACGCCCACATTTGTCATTTTTCTGTTAAATAGATTAAGACCACAAAGTCGCAATAGCAGTGAAAAAATAAATAAAAAAATAAAGCATGGTATTTTGTTTCATGTACATCAGCCCTATCGGAATTTAGAAAATTGCGATGGATGATAGTTTTATCATATTCCTTCCTGCATACCCGTTCTTGAAGTCTCTTTTTGTGAACGACTCTATACATTTTAAATGGCAGTTTTCACATTCTCTGTGCGTATGCACAATGTCTCTGGTGGTTTACAGTTTGTAAGATTGTGCCGAAAATCGTACTTCGACAACCTCTGTAGTGTTATAACATATTTTGCATCTATTTAGGCAGCTGAAAATGTAGATATTTACATTTTGGTTATCCAGAAATAACCTCAATTGGAGTTAAAATCTAGTGATGGCCAAGAAAAAATCATCATATACTTCTTTGTAGTACGAATTTTGTGATATTCGTGTATATATTTTTCTTTTGACTGTCTTTACGTCGTAGTATTTATTTGGTTTTTTTTTTTTGCAACCCGTCTGCCTGGGTGGCAATTTGGAAACTCATGAAACCAAGATATAAAAAGTATCGGTATTACAGTCTACAAAACTGCATGTCACATATCATTCAGACGGCCACTTACAGTAACAAAATACTATCATTTGTGTAAAACTCAGCAATATTAGTTCCGTCCAAAATCGATTTGCAACGTTTATTAAAACCAGAAAGGTCAAGGGTCCGAAACGTTTCCACTTTTATTTTGGCCGCAGGGAAAAATTCGATGTTAATTACAGCATTTGATCTATAAAGTCGTGTCAGAAATGTTAAAGGTGAAAGTGACACTTTAAATGACCAGTGATCAAAGATATCAATACATGATGGTCTCAACTGGTTCAGAAATTGTCAAGCACAGCACGTCTAATCCAAAGGGTACATCAGATGAGACGATAAAGTAAAGTATTGGCCATATTATTTCCTCACCACTTGCTGTTCATTTTCCAAGAGAAGAATGCTAAATACTTAATTCAATGATAAGTATTTGAATTACAGAGATTTAGGAAAGGAAATTTGATAACGTTGATTCTGAATCATTGTATGTTTTATCAATATTAAAATAAACTGGCAGTAAAAACATCAATTTCACACACACACACATACATACATACATACATACATACATACATACATACATACATACATACATACATACATACATACATACATACATACATACATACATACATACATACATACATACATACATACATACATACATACATACATACATACATACATACATACATACATACATACATACATACATACATACATACATACATACATACATGTATGTGTCTCTGTTTTACAATTTTCAAGTAATCTTTGAACGTGAGATTTTGGGAAATTGATTTTCTTCTTGCAAAGGCAAAGACAGTAAAGAAATATATCTCGATAATTTTGCAAGAATATTTAAAAGATGGAAATATTGCACCCCTATCTACTAACTTGAATAGAGTGAAAATGTTATACACATATTTATGTTTTTATAACAGTGGAGTTTTGGAAGAGCTGGATGCTCACACTATAAGTGATTAGGCGAGCAAGAATATCATTGATTGGTAAAATATAGATAACTAGATAACTAGCAAAGTATATTTTAAAGTTTCACGCAATTTGGTTTCTGATACATTAGTCAAACTTTTTAATGTAATATTTGAATCTGGAGATTATCTTCACATGTCCTTGAAGGATTTTTATCGTTCTGATTTATAAGATACAGTTTAATTAGTTTATAAGCCGAATCCAACTTTATACAACATAGATGACAGATAAAGCAAATATAAACATTGTCCTCAGTAAAACTGGTATAAAGCAAATATAAGCATTGTCTTTATTAGAACTGACATAAAGCAAATATACACATTGTCCTCAGTAGGATTGGTATAAGACAAATATAAGCATTGTCTTTATTAGAACTGACATAAAGCAAATATACACCTTGTCCTCAGTAGGACTGGTATAAGGCGAACATAAGCATTGTTTTCATTAGAACTGGTATAAGGCGAAGATAAGCATTGTCTTCATTAGAGCTGACATAAAGCAAATATACACATTGTCCTCAGTAGGACTGGTATAAGGCAAATATAAGCACTGTCCTCAGTAGGACTAGTATAAGGCGAACATAAGCAATGTCTTCATTAGAACTGGTATAAGGCGAAGATAAGCATTGTCTTCATTAGAGCTGACATAAAGCAAATATACACATTGTCCTCAGTAGGACTGGTGTAAGGTGAACATAAACTTTGTTCTTAGTATTAGTGGTATACAACAAGAAAAGATTTATTAAACAATAATGGTATTTTGGTAGTCTGAGAGTTGTCATTGTCGTCAGTAGCATTGGTGTAAGGCGAGTATAAGCATTGTCCTCGGTCGTATTGGAATAAGTGCAATCATAGTCTTAATCAAAATTGGTACAAGGCAAGTACAAGCAAAGTCCTCAGTAGTATCGGTATAAGGTTAATATAAGTATAGTCCTCAAAAGTCTTGTTATAAAGCTGGTGTAAGCTACGTCTTCAAAAGTATTGTTATAAGGCGAGTATAAGCATAGTCATGAGTAGTATTGGTATAAAGCATGTAGAAGAATTGTCCTCAGCAGTATTAGTATAAGGAAAATATAAACATTGTTGATAGTAGTGATGATGTAAGGCAAGTAAACAATTCTAAAACAATAATGGTATTTTGGTAGTTCAAGAGTATCCATTGTCCTCCGTAGTATTGGTATATCCCAAGCATAAACATAGTCTTCAATATTATTGGTATAAGATTAGTATAAGCATAGTCCTCAGTAGTCTTGGAATAAAGCTTGTGTAAGCAACGTCCTCAATAGTATTGGTACAAGGCGATTATAAGCATAGTCCTCAGTAGTATAGGTATGAAGGAAACATAAAAATTGTTCTTTGTAGTATTGGTATATGGCGAGTGTAAACATAGTCCTCAATAATACTGGTATAAGAAGAATATAAGCATAGTCCTCTGTAGTATTGGCATAAGGCATTCACAGAATTGTCCTCAGTGGTATTGTTATAAAGGGAAAAATAAACATTGTTCTTATTAGTATTGGTATAAGACAAATAAGCATTAAAATAATGGTATTTTTGTAGTCTGAGAAAAGATGAAAAAAGATATTACTATAGGGTATGTAAAACTGATTTCTTATTTGAAAAGTACTTGGATTATTTCCGAAATGTTAAGTTAGAAAGACCTGACAAAATTTAAAATATTTACTCTTCTTTTATGTATAGAAATAGGACAGGATTATAGGAGTCCAAGATAAAGTATATTTTCTGTCTCTGGTGCTAACTATAATGCATTTATTCCACACGAAGACTTTTGGTTTTGTTTGATTGTCCAGTGAGAAGTAAGTTACGTATTGTTCAGTGTTTGGTAACTTACGAATTATCCAGTGTATGGTAACTTACGTACCCGTCACATTTAAATTGTTACTATTCAATAACAGCCATGTTAAAAGTAAACAAATTTTTGACTTCAAAAAGGAGAGATTTATAATGCATACAAACTGTCACTGCCTGAGTTGCCGATTTTTATGTAACGTGTTAATTTATATGAATTATTAATGTCATTTTCTATTTTGTTTAAAACTCCTCATTGTTATATTATATTATATTATATTATATTATATTATATTATATTATATTATATTATATTATATTATATTATATTATATTATATTATATTATATTATATTATATTATATTATATTATATTATATTATATTATATTATATTAATCATATCATATCATATCATATCATATCATATCATATCATATCATATCATATCATATCATATCATATCATACCATATCATATCATATCGTATCGTATCGTATCGTATCGTATCGTATCGTATCATATCATATCATATCATATCATATCATATCATATCATATCATATCATATCATATCATATCATATCATATCATATCATATTATATTATATTATATTATATTATATTATATTATATTATATTATATTATATTATATTATATTATA